GACACAAATACAAATCAACAAAAAACTTGGCATAAGCTGGACCCACCACGTTATCGAGATAGAGCCAAAGAAATCGCACGCAAGCAGACCGGGGAGGGGGAGGGGGGAGGGGGTCTGCAATGACGGCAGCTGAAGAAGCCGGAGCTTAGGCCGCCATGGGGAAGACAGATGGGTAAAGCTGGTGCAGACGGATATTGCAACAGGAGATCGAAACATGGAGATTCAAAGACTAAAGAGGGAGGAGGAGGAGGAGGGGAAAGGATAAGATCGCGACTTACCTCTTTCAAGCGGAGCTGTTCACCGCTCCTTCGACCCAAAAAGAAGTTTCGGCTCTTAGCAGCTTCCAACATCAATCTGGACCAGCACACTGCTCATTTCTCCCCACGGCCCTCTCTCTCTCTCTCTCTCTCACACACACACACACGCACACACACACACACACGCACACACAAACACACAGAGTGGCAAGCACAGCGCCCGCTTTCCCCGCCCACACGCGCACACCCGCGCACGCACAAACACACACATACACGCACCCATGCAAGCATGCACCACCGCCAGCACACACACACGGTGATAGCACCTATTGGTACCGCTGGGCCTATTGCAGGTCCATCGGAGCCGTTGGCCCAGTAGTAGCTGGCCGACGGCCCGGATTGCCTCCTGGTCACACATGTCGGAATTTTCTGATTATTGGAACAGAACTCGACTAATTATCTCCCGACAGGCCAGAAATGACCTGGACCTTCACTTCACAGTGGAGGAACTGAAGAGAGCGGTGGGCCAAATGGCCAAGGGCAAACGCCCTCGGCCGGATGGTCTCACGGTGGAACTGTTCCAACGCTGTTGGAACTCCTTTGGTCCATTTCTATGCCGAGGACACAACAGAATCTTGGAGACTGGACTACTCCCTAGGGGGGTTGCTAAATGGGTAGTATCCCTCCTCTATAAGAAAGGGGATAACTATCGCCTGAGTCTCTACTTAAACCACCAGTACTTGGCTCTGTTATCCGCCGCGTAAAACAAAAAAAAAAAGTAGAAACGTTTCTAGTCAGATGAATTTGGGCACTCCTGTAGTAGCCCGTACGTTTCCTAAAATCGTGGCGCGTTTCCTAAAATGGTGGTGCGTTAACGGGCACGAGTCGAGGAAATCACTGGCTCAGACGCTAGCCTGTCGACTGGTTTCCCTCCTCCCTGACCTGAAGGCAGGGAGCAGGGTGCCTTCGTGGAAGGTCGTTCGATTTTTGAAAACAAAATGACGACAGTCCAAGCTCTAGAGGTGATAGGATATGAGAGGCGTGAGGTAGCAGTACTACTTGACATGGAAAAAGTGTATGACAAGGTGGGATGGGCCTTCATTTCCACCACCTTGTCAAAGATGGGTTTTGGCCCGGTCTTCAAACGAATAGTCAAGACAATGTACTCTCAAGCCACCTCGGTAGTTATGGTAAATGGCGAACTCTCTGATGAATTTTCATTGTTTAGTTCCCTTTACCAAGGCTGCCCCTTGGCCCCACTTTTATTCGTCCTCCAGTTACATAATTTGTTGGACAATATCAGGTTCAACGAAAAAATTGAAAGGTTGCACGTATCCCCCGCCCTCCAATGGAAGGGAGGGGCTATTGCAGATGATCACTGTTGCTTGCAAGAATTGCTTACAATCGCTTACTGAACTTAAAACTGTATTAGATTCGTATTGTGAACTTTCAGAAGCTTCAATCAATTGGGATAGATCTGTCTTTTTTTAAACCCTCCCCCCCACCTTGTACCAGCAGATGAGGAAGTATTTACTTCCAGTCTGATGTTGTTCGATGGCATGCGCGGTGCATTCAAGGCCGTCCGGTTCGTCTGTTTTGGTGGCGGTGGTGCGGGGAGAGGCCCGCCCGGGATAGTTGTGGTTCCGATGAGTCGGACCTTTGGGTGCAGGCTCGTGGCGTCTGTTGTCGCGTGTTCTGGTTAGGCCCTCTAGTTTCCGGGGTTCGTCGGTTGCTGCGTCGCCGACAATTTCCGCAAGGCGTGCGGGCCAATACGGGGCGATGGAATTCCACGGAACCACCGTGAGTTGGTGATACGGGAGGAGGAGACGGAAGGGAGGGAAATTCGTAGTGATAACAACGAAACCGGGGGATATGAAGTAGTGCGAGTTATCCGTAGTTGGATAATCGGGGCACCTCGGATCGCTGGTTACGGCACAGTGAAACTCCCTGGGGCACAATCGATTCTCGGTTAAGCAGGGGAATTCCGGATATCTTTGCCTGATGAATTCCCTCACCCAAGGGTGGAAGTACTTTGAGTCCCAGGAGCTCGACATCTTATCATTGCGGTGTGGTGGAATTCTTCCACACGCGTCTAATCGACAAGGGGATGTTCCGATGTGATATCGAAATTCCTTTCCGTTTAGGTGCATAGRGGAAGGATTATTCCCRTCTACCCGATATCGAAGGCGCCAAGTTCGTCAATGGTCGCGAATCGGCRCGCGTGGATACGTGTAGGCTGCGCCGATCAGATCGCGCTTACACGCATCCYCGCGAGGTATTCGCTTGTTTCTGGACAAACAACTGCCCAATCATYGAATCAMTCCGTGATCCCGCGTGCAATCATTCCTGAGCATGCAAGGTGCTACTATACATCAGGCATCGCARCAACAACARTAGATCGAAAAGGACAAACAACAATAGTGACGACTACGCGRAAGTTTCTACTATGCTCATAAGTGTATCAAAATGGCAAGCAAAGGCACGAACAGACAAAAGAAAAGCAAACAGACATAACATTCATTCATCCATTCATTCGACATAACACACGATAAACGAGATCGAGACCAATCGCAAAAACGAGYGTGGGCGAAAACCAAGCCAAGATTCCGAAAACAAAAGAAAACGGGCGAATCGCCCTGAGCTGAAATCAAAATTTATATACAAAAGCAAGGAGGGAGACAAGACAAAGAAAATTGCAAACCATGTCCATCAACCTCAGCTCCCTCTTCTTCTCTCTTCCTCTCCGATGCAGACAGTCCGTCGTCACGCACCAACCCACAAAGTCGTCATCCCGCTTAGTCCTCCCGTGCCTGTGAGGTTCGTCCGCGCCCACAGTCCGTCGTGGCCCGCGTCAACCCCGTGTGTTCGACACCAGCTCGTCGGGTCGCCCGACTCCCACTTCAACTCATCTCTTACTTCGCTCGCGAGCCGACCCTCACTGATCGTGCTCCCCGAGCTTCCAACAACTGGTTAAGAGAGGTATTTAATCGCACATCCGAAATTTATAGCATGCATGCATGCGCAAAGAACATGAAATTGGAGGCTAGAGTGTAGAAAGGAGGTAAGCCTACTGCCCCCAAGCACGAGTTGCTCGATAGACCAAGGGACGACTTTCAAGTTGAACTAGCTTTGCTGGGCTGGAGAGATAATAAAAGTGGGAAGTATATTGTTATTTGTCAATACAAGACCAAAGTGTGTGTTCTCATTCAGAGTCAAAGGATCAGGAAACACCAGAGATATTGGTCATAAAACGCTTTACACACTTGCATAGAACAAAAATTGTTAAGCCTGACTTTTCAAATATGTGGCAGACATTAAAAAAAATCATATCGGTCTCTCGCACGTATTTAGCCTTGGATGAGACTTACCACCCAATTTTTGGGGCTGCATTTCCGGGTAACCCGACTCTTCGATAACACCTCATTGCGCAACAGGATCCGACAGTCGACGGGGTTGTCACCCTCTTCGGCATCCCCTTCCAGAGAGTCTGCACACGGCCCGCTGCAAAGGTTACCTCTCAAAACTACAATTCAATGAGCAGCAAGGCCCCCGAATGTTCAGTCTGGGCTATTCCCAGTTCGCTCGCCGCTACCAAGAGAATTCTCATTAGCTTCTCGGTTCGCTCAAATTACTTGTTCTAGACAAGCAAGTCAAGGAGTTTGGGGTCCACTGATCAGCACAAAAGTCACATTATGGGTCCATAGTGGAATTGTTTAATGTTGGGATTGCGCAACTTAGAAGGAGAATAAAAAAAAATATCCATCAAACATGCACGAGACAAGAAGGTAGCCCTGGAACACCTCATCCTCCAACTGGAAGAGTGGGACAACCCACTGGACTTGCCCACCTTCCAAACTATCCAACGAGCAAGGAGCCTACTCTAAGACTCCCTACATGCCCAATCACATAAATGAAAGATTCAAGCCAAAATCAACAATGATGCCTCAGATGGCATGATGCCTGAGTTTTTTTTCAACAAAGCCAAGGCGAAAACCAGATAGAACACAGTGTCATCCGTCAAACACCCGTTTGATGTGACACAACCTGTGACCAATAATGCATACCAGATTGTGGAGTACGCTTCCACCTACTACAAATATATGTTCATCTTTGATTTACCTACAAGGCAACCACAAGAGCTGGAAATAGCCAGGACCGCCCTGCTCAATATGCTACCAATCTTGTTTTCAACACAACGGGGAGACCTCTTTGATACCCCCCTCACCCACTCGGATCCGCTTCAAGCTCTGCAAGACACGAACAACGATAAAACACTTGGACTTGATGCATTCACCACAGAGTTTTTGTTACACTTTTGAAACATTTGCGGATGACTTCGTCACATATGTCAACTCAATATTTAACGAGGAAACCTTCGGGGAAAAGATAGGTCAGGGGGTGACCACCTTGCTCCATAAAAAGAAAATAGGGAGGAGATATGCAACTACCGCCCAATCATTCTCATGCCGGTTCCTTACAACATAGTGGAAAACGCTTGGCCCAACCGACTGCTGCCTCACCTACTACATCTAATCCACCGGGACTAATTAGGGTTTATGACCCACTGAAATATTCAACATAACATACTGCTAGTAAACAAAATTATCCGTTATGCGTGACAGAGGGAGGCGGACACTGCAATTTTGTTCATCGATTTTGAGATGGCCCATGACCACGTGGAATGAGACTTCCTCGAGTTGTGCCTCAATAAAATGCACTTCGGACCCCTCTTCTGCAAATGGATTAACATCTTACAGAACACTGCATCCGCTAACATATCTCTAAATTGACATCTTGATGCTCCATTCCGGCTCCAACGCTCTATGAGATAAGGAAACCCCATTGTTTCAATGCATTTCATCTTAGTGATGGAGGCCCTTACTGCAATGATCAGGTCAAATCCAAACATTCAGATAATCAGGGTGCAAGAAATTTTGGAACACGTCATCCCCACAACCTCCTTGTTCGTCCATGATCGTACGGTGTTGTTTAGGATGAATACGCAAAGCTTCCAAGCACTAACCCAAACAATTCGAAGTAGCGGTGAACATGAAGGTCAACTGAGGAACGAAGATTGAAGGATGGTGGTTATACCACTTTAAAAAACAACCTCCAGTCGACCCGATGGTCATTTGGAAAAACAAAAAGGCGTCGATTAGGGTGTTGGGTGTGAACCTTACAATCGTGGGATCCCTCACTAACCATAGAGACTCCTTGGTTAA